ACATCAGTCTTTTAATAAAAAAATGATTAAAATGCAAAAATATTTAGAATCTTTTTTTGTGAGAGGCATCTGACATTTTAAATTTTTTTTGGAGCAGAGTCATTCCAGAATTTTCAAAAAAGATGCAAAAATGCCTTGCCATCAGTGTTGACCATTAGTTGGTTGTTATTTTACCTTGCCATCAGTGTTAACAATTAGTTGATTGTTTTTTTTTTGGTACATTAGTTGATTGTTATTTTAACTTTCATTGCCAGCTTATTGCCACTTGGCAATTTTTTAAAAGATAAAAAAAAATCCACGTGGCCAGAATGGCAACTCTGGACTTATTTAAAGTGTTGCGATGTTTACTGATTACTAAACACGCACTTTGAGCATGCTTTTCATAACTCAAATTAAAACTGATAATTTAGCACCTCAAAAATTTTAGAGTCAAATATAGGAGTTTAGAAAATTTTATTTATTCTGAACTTATTTAACCGTTTGAAAAAATTTCTGACCAAGCCTAAATTGAAATATATTTAGCCCGAAACCCAAAATTTTTATTAATAAAAAAATACACCAATTTCCAAAATTCACGCCCCTTTAAAAGCGAGTTAAAATCGGTAACCTGCTAAGCTGAACCTCATTGCGAACTCTAGCATCTATCCAATCATGCCTCACAAATGGCCGGGCAAATCGATGTAACCGAAACTGGAGAAAGTTAACAATGTTGGGAAAAAAAATTCCACATTTAAAACTAAAAAGAGACATAAAATATATAAAAGCCAGTAATAATCCCCACCAATCAAGTAATACTAGTTCAGGGACGAGGAAAAGCTCAAGCAAACACGACGCATAGTTAATGAACAACAACAACAACAACTATAATAACTTGGATGAGCCTGCTAGCCGAAGAACATGCTCCTCCGAGCTGACTCAACCCAATTCTCGACCTTTTCAATTAATGCAAAGTAAATCAACGGAAACATCTCTTGGTGATAACAACTAACTTGACGCCATCAATGCGAATATCATCATAAAAAGCCACAAGACCACGGTGATGAAGGAAATGGGGAGATTTTAAATGACAGCCAAACCTAAAACTGAAGCCGAACTTACGAGAGCAGAGCTGCGATGAAGGTCAGGAAGGGAAGAAGGCGAGTGCTGTGAGGAGGTAGCCGAACAAGAATTGTTCCGATCACCAACATTAGATAGTAAAGAACAATGATCAAGACCAGACACTTCTTGATTTTATCGTGCTGGCTTTTGAACGAAGTGTTCGCTTTCGCTCCTGTGTCAGTTGTGTTCCAGGCCGCAAGTAAAGCCATTAACAGCGTTGAGAATTTGTCCAAGATCTCTCGCAATTCCTTGAAGAGTTTGACCACTTGCTCCCTGAGCATATTTGTTGAGAAGAAATTTTAGAAAGAAAGGATCTAACACTCCACATTCGGTTAAACACAAGTAAAAACAGAGCAATTTCATTTTATGCCTATCGGTGAGAGAAGAGAGCATTAAAAGCAGAGCACGAAGAAATCAACCGGGGAAAATGTTGGGCATGATCACTTATCATTGCAAGCCAAGTTATTGTCATGAATAAAAACACAATTTTAGCCTCTTAGGTGCAATCTCCAAAAGGTTAACAGGAAGGAAGAACAGAGAAAAATTAGTGTGAAAAGAAGTGGTAAAAAGCAGAGGAACATGAAACAAGTATACACGAGGTTTATTCAATTCCCTTGTTCAAGACAAGAAAAACAACAAGATCAAACTTGTGGCATGGTTTTGTAAATGCAGAACAGAGAACTCTACCTCATTGACAAGGTCTGGCTTTGTCTCTCCTAGGTGCTTCTTGAAGGGTACGTTGAAGAGCTCTGCTTCTTATAAAGGAGGAGGGGGAAGAGAGAGAAGAAGTCGAAGACTGGCATTGTTAAAAGTAAAATGAAATGAAGTGCTTTGCGTTTTGGCTAGGGCTTATTGATAGGGAGAAGTTGGGACTTGGGAGACGTATTAAACGTTTTATACCCATTCCGGCATTCCCACAAGTTTATTACGCCAATATGAAGCGCTCACGCCTTCCTTCATCCCACTCTTTAGAGCATCACGTGCTAGTAATTTCCAGGAAGGGCCATAGTATCCCACCTGCACGTGACACGTAAACTAGTTGGCCAGGAAATCAAAATTTAATTTGTACTTTATAATTTATTTAAACTTATTCTGTTAATTTTTAGAAAATAAATTTGGTCTTTATAACATCATAACTCCGTGTCTTTTATAGCAACACATAAATGAATTGTGTTATTTATGAATAAGCTAATTTATAAGAGTTTTTGTATTATACAATATATTATTTGTTATTAATTATAAAAAATTTAATTTTATATATATATATATATAACATATCTTCAAAAAGGCCCTTAACTTTTTTTTTTAGTTTAAAAAAATTCCTTAACTTTTTATAGTGGTTTTTCCATCCACTCTCCCTGATGAGATGTGGAAATCAAAAGATCGTCGACAAGTTAAAATTTGTAATTACTTGCCGTGCACGAGCATGTAAGAGGAATAAGTTCTCAAACATATGATGTGTCTGCCTTTTAAATCAAATAACGAATTCCCAAAATCTTTTATCACAATTTTTCTGAATGCAAGTGGTTGAAAATAGAAGAAATGAAGAAATAAAAAAGAAGAAAAATGAGAGAATTGCATAATAAGAGTAGACATGATATTAAAAATAATATAAAAGAAATATAAGACGAAAACAAAAGGAAAGCACTGGAGTGATATGGCTACTATTCTCTTAGAAGCTAGTGCTCTATTAAATGCTAGAAATTTATTGCAATCTACTGGATATGTGTTGCTCTAAGAGGACAATGTTGAATTTGCTAAATGAGGAAGTGCTTGGTTTTGTCAAGTAATGAGGTCTCATAAGTATGACTTGCCTTTTCTTTCATACACAAAGTGGTAGTTTTTTTTTTCCATGGATCCATGCTCCACATTTCTAAGGTCATTACCTTTAGTTTTCCCTAAATTTCTCCACTTTCTCCTATTCCCAAAGAGGTACATTCCTTGACCAAGTCCTTTTATAATCAAAGTTGATAATTTAAGTTGCGGGGCCTATTCAAGTTAATATTAAAAATACTCAAACATATAAAAAATTTATATAACCAAACTAGATCCTAATACCTTAGCCATTCGAGGCTCGTTCAAATACTTGAATTGTTAAAAATCATTTTATTTTATTTTTCAATTTTATGTCAAAAATTAATATTTTTAATTCTTATCCTATTTTAATTTTATTTTATTAATAATAAAAAATTAGGTTAAGCTCATTCAGGCTTACTCACAGTAAAAAAACTTTTATAAATTCCTATGTTTGATCTTAAATTTTTTGAGCCTATTCATAAATTACTAACATTATTTACAATCACTTCATTTTTAGAACGCTCAGGTGGTCTTGGACTAAAATTATTATTTTAGCCAAAATAATTAGGCTTGGGCTTGGGTCAAATTTAGATTTTAGTACATTTAATTAACTTAAACATATTTTTTAATTCACCCAAGAAAACTTAAACTAATTTTATTTTAAATTTTAAGAAACTAGTTTTGCCGAAGGCAATTGACAATTCACTGTGGGGTCGGATAGCAAAACATAATACCCTGCATCCTTATTAGGCTATATTCCACTATTTGTCAGACATGCTTGTTTGAGGCATGCGTGTTGCAAATAATAGTCCCTCATCCAGTAAGCTTTTTAGAGTTTTTAATATAAATAATTTGACAAGTCACGTTACTATTTGGTCCAGTCTCATTAAAAAATTGGGCCAAATCTCGTTCGACTAGTCCTGCCCTTCACGCATCCTGTAAATTTAAAAGTTTTGTGAAAAACAGACACCAAGTAACCAGGCAAAAAAAAAAAAAAAAGGATCGGAGTAAAAGGGGAATTCGTCAACTGTTTTATTTGACCAAAAGGTTAATTCAATAACTTAAAAATCAAAGTACGAAGGATCAGTAAACTGTACAAGCAAGCAGGAAAGATATTACATCGGCAATTTAAAAGTAGAAAAGGTCCTAACAGTAAGATCAACTAAAGCTCTAGCTTGATTAAGGATGCGATCAGGGGTGGCCGTCTCGTATGCAAAGATACGCAGATTTCTAGCTTCCCATAATTTCCAGCACAAAATGCACGCACCAATTTTTCAAGAAGTATCAATAAGGTGATTATTCATGATATCTGTTAACCAAGCATTAATACTTTTGTCATAGAACTCAGTACACATATCAAGCGACAATACTTTCTTCCAAACTACGGCAGCTAATTAGTTACAGCTCCTAAAAACATGGTCAATGGTTTCTTATGGCACGTTACAAAGTGAGCAAGTTTGGTCAGGGGTCATATTTCTTTTGTGTCGTTCAGCATTGGCAAGAAGCTTGCCCTTAAATAGTAGCCACATGAACGTCTTGACTCTTTGTGCAGCTGGTAGTTTTCGTCCATTCCTCCAGAGAACATCCACTCCATTCCAATTAAGGGATTGAGTTGCTGTGTACGTTGACTTGATGCTGAATTTTCCAATTGAACTAAATGCCACCGTGACCGATTCAAGTTACCACATTGGACTTATTAAAAAAAAAAAAAAACCACATTGGACGTGTCCTTTTGAACGTCGCTGGAACCTGCGTGTCTCTATTCTGCTTTAGCCGCGTCCACATTAGACGTGTCATTGCATCGTCGCTTCTACTGTTCTCTAAAAACCTGCTGTCACTCGCAGGCTAATCCTTCCTCTGTTTACCTCACACTCTGAAAGGCTTTATAATTAAACTAAATGGCGAAAGGTGAGTCCGCATTAAACAACAGGAATTAATATGTGCTTTGATGTCTTACGTGTCATTCTCTGCGGTTTCAAACGACAAAAGCCATTTGCGTGGCGTTCCTCCACTGCCTCCGTGTGGTTTCCACCACGTGGCATCACATCATAAGCAGTTGCGCATGCCACTATCATCTCCACTATAAATGCCGCACCCTTGCTTAATGTGCGTCATCGTCTCAGAACATCGAATATCGTCAATTACATCTGTAGTCATTTCTCGCGTTCAAAACAGCAAGAAGAAGAAGGAATGTCGTCACGGCAAGAGCGAGCTGAGCTTGACCAGAGGGCCAAGCAAGGAGAGACCGTCGTCCCGGGCGGCACCGGCGGCAAGAGCCTGGAGGCTCAGGAACACCTAGCTGAAGGCATATATATCTCTCCAATGTTTCTTTTTAACACTAGTTTTACTTATAAATGAATATTATGTGTTATATATGCTGTAATATTAACTGAGTAGGGTTTGACATTGAATTGAAGGGAGGCACCGCGGAGGGCAGACGAGGAAGGAGCAGCTGGGGACAGAAGGGTTCCAGGAGATGGGACGCAAAGGAGGACTGAGCACCATGGACAGGTCGGGAGGAGAGCGAGCTGAAGAAGAAGGCATCTCCATTGACGAGTCCAAGTTCAGAACCAGAAACCAGCAAAACCAGTAGAGAGAGATCTGCATGTTTGTGATGTTCCTGCCTTAGTAATATAAGTAGTAACTCTAGGGTAGCTGCACGAAGTAATAAGTTTGTGTCTTGTTTTATCAGGACATGGTCATTGTGATGTTTTAGGGTTTCAAGTTTCTCTTTTGACCTTTAGTTTGCTGTGTGTCTCATGAGAATGGAGGCATCAACTAGCTATACTGGATGCATGGACTTGATCCCCCGAATAAGCTTGGGGTCTTTATTTTCATGTCATGTTTGTGTAACCTAACCTTGAATAATGGAGAAATTTGTGTTTGCTCTGGTTCCTATAATATATGTGTAGTTCCTACGTTTCCAAAATTATCTAGATAATTTGTTTCACGTTAAAACAAATAGTTAACATGTAATCAGAATGAGTTCTTCTGTGCAAAAAAAGAGAAAAAACACTTCGCCCTTTAGGATTGATATTCTGATCTGTCTAAAATTGGAATTAGATTAGGATTTGATGAAGTAAAAGTCAAACTAAAGGAATTAAATATGAATTTGGAAATGACTGACTATATATCGATAATTTTTTTTTTTGTAAATAAAGGCAAGCTAAAAGCTTGAGTTAAAGACCAGTACAAACTAGTGAAGTTCAGGTTCAGGTCACTAAATTCTTGTCCACCCAAAATCTGTCCAAGCATTGAGGAGTTACCGTAGGAACCAGGATAAGACCAGGCGAGCCATGAAAACTATTCTTTGCCATTAAATCAGCACACATTATATTCTCACGTCTAGTGTGAGAAACTTCAACCTCCCAATCTCCGAAGAGCAAGTCACGGATATCAGCTAGTAGGGCTCCTAAAGGATGAGTACCCAGCATATCTCTTCTAATCAAGTTTATAGCATCCATTGAATCTGAACAAATCTAAATCTTGGTCAAATCGAGAAGCCTGGACACTATTAAACCAGATTTTATTGCATTGAGTTCAGCCTCAGTGACTGAGGAGTATCCCAAGTCCTGTTGAAAGCCTATAATCCAATCTCTTCAGTTTTTGCGAAGAACACCACCGCATGCTGCACGCTTTCTCTGAATAGATCCATCTACGTCAACACAAACTACACCATAAGGGGGTGGAGTCCATGTTCTTTTCGACTGAGAAAAGCCTTGGAAGACCATGTGTCGTAGTCCCTTGTTTACTAAACTTTCCATCAACAGATATTTTCCTTTGTGTATGGTCTCCATGACTAAAAAGTTGCTGCCTTCAAATATAGATTTACATCTAGATGTCTAGAGAATCCAACAAAAAGTGGCAAAAACACTTGTCTAAGTCCATGAATTGAATTTCCCCTTGGCTGGTTTGTTCTTTGAGTTCCAGTAAAGTCAACCCTGCAAATTGTCATGGAAAAAACTAGAAAAAGAGTTAGGGTTTAAAGCATAAGTTCACGCATCGTTTGCTCTCTCACAATTTCTCAAAATATAAGGACAGACTCCTCATGATGACACTCTGAGTAAGTTGGTAATCAATCTCTCATGAGAAACTTGCCACAGGAAGAATTTAATTCTTTCAAGAATTTGCCACTTCCAAATTTGTTCCACAAGGCAGAACTACTCATGCCATTCCTTTGGGTAAGAAAGTTATATGCATTCTTGACTGAGAAATTACCATCCCCTGCTGGTCTCCATTTTAGCTTATCCTCATAAATCATATTGGGGGGGTTTATTTTACATGGACAAGACATAACTCAAGAAGGAAAGAGATCTTGCCATGCATACAAGTTCTAACCCCCACTAGGAAGTACATGATTAGCCACACGATCGCTCGGATTGATTTCAAGTGGTCTAGTGACATATTCAATAAGGGTTTGTCTAGAGGAGTCCACTTGTCCCACCAAAAGCTAATGTTCAGCCCATTATTAATTCTCTTTCCAAGCCATCAGAGAAACAGATCCCAAACCTCCATGATAGATTTCCATGTTAGAGAGATAGATTGGCATTTATTGATTTTTAGTATGATAGCTTTTCACATCTGTACTGAGCTTTCAAACATCTAACCCAAAGAGCTTCCTGTTTAGTTACCAATCCCTAGCATAATTTCATAATGAAAGCCTCATTATGGCATCTCAAATTTTTAATCCCCATACCACCATCTTTCTTGGGCTTTGTAACTTGATTCTAGGCAATAGGATGCATCTTCCTGACTTCAATGTCTTGGCACAATAAAAAACTGCGACTAAGTTTATCAATTTCAAAAAAGTACCTTTAGACGATTGCATATGATAGCCAGGCAAGGCTAAAATGACTGCCTTGATGGGAATAGTTATGCCCGCAATATTAAGATACTTGCACTTCCATAGAGAAAGTCTTTTTTTGACTTATGAATAATAGGGTCAAAGGTGGCTTTAGTAACTCTAGAATGGATTATTAGAACTCCTAAATATTTACCAAGATCAGTTGTGGTTCCAATCCTAAGGACTTGACTCAATTCCATTTTTCCATTGAAATGAACATTACGTGAATAGAACATTTTGGATTTGTCCAAATTGATGCATGGCTGGAAGCAACACAAAAACTTTGCATAATTCTCTTTACCTCTTCCATTTGGTTAACAAAAGTTTCCACGAAGAGAATGAGATCATCCACAAAAAAGAGGTGAGAGAGGCTAGGCCCTTTCACTCTAAAATTCAAGGGTCGCCATCTTTTTGCTTCACATTCAGATCTAATAAGTTGTCCCAATAGCTCCATGCACGGACGAAAATATATGGACTTAGGGGGTCCCCTTGTTTGATTCCCCTTGAGGGTTTAAATTTTGGCCAATTTTCACCATTCCACAAAATCCTCATGGAAGCAGTTGTGATACAAGCCATGATTAGATTAATAAATGATCATCTAAATCAATCTTCACTAACGTTTCATGAATAAAACCCCAATCGAATCTCAAAAGCTTTTTTCATGTCAACTTTAGTTGCCACACAGCCTTTTTTTTCTTTGACTAACCCTTATCAAATGAATGGTTTCTTGAGCAATAATGATATTGTCGCAGCTAGATTGGCCCGTAATAAACTACACTGTTCCTAATCCACTAACAAATTCATGACTCTTTTTAATCTATTAGCCAGGATTTTGGTGATAATTTTGAAGCAAACATTGCAGAGAGAGATGGATCTAAAATCCTTAAGGGAGGTAGGGCTATCCACTTTAGGAATGAGGAAAATATTGGTCTGATTAATATCTTTGATCATATTAGGATTAGAAAAGAATTTGCTTACAAAGTCACATACTTTGCTACCAACAGAGTCCCATTATGTTTAGAAGAAATGTGCTCGTAATCTACCTTGCTTGGAGCTTTGAAGGATTCTATAGAGGAAGCCCCATTCTTCACTTCTATATGATCTAGCATCCTTTGAATCAGATTTAAGTCCGACAAATTAATAGCAGGAAATGCTAAAAACCAAGTAGCATGATTATCAACGGAGGAATCTTTAGTATACAGCTGTTTTGAAAAAATCGCTTGCTGATTGCGTTAGTATGTCAGGATCTGAAATCCAATCTCCCCTAGCATCTTTGATAGCATGAATAAATTGTTTCTTCCTTCTGAACATTGTGGAAGCATGCAAATGGCTCCAATTTGGTGATATATATATATATATATATATATATATTTGATAATTTCATAATTTGACATTGCTGGCTTGGCCCAAAAAAAAAAAAAGGAAAAAAAATACTTTGACAGTGCTGGTGGTCCATGGCTACTTCTATAAGCGATAATAAAAGGGACATCAAATTAAAACTATAGTATTTTTAGATATAATTTATCTTTTCGTAATTTGAAGGTTTTTTTTTTGGCAGGGGGACCCAGTTTTCGGTGAATCTGATATTTTTACAATATTTAATTAATTGGAGATATTCGAAGAATAGATTTCACGAAGTTGTTATTAACAAATATTAAGCCACTAAATTCACAACTCATTTATAAGAGGCTCATTGCAATTGATGATTTTTGTATTAGAAAAAGACAAACAATCATGTTTTTGTTATCCTTATTAAAATAAAGAGAAAATTAATTATTTGATCTCATAGTTGTAGTTCATTTGTAACTCAATTCTTATAAGTTTAATTCAGTTTAACTTGGTCTATAAATTTTGCTTCTCATAATCTAGTCTCATAGTTTCAACCATTTAAATATTAATCATTATATTTTTAAAAATAAAGTTATAAAGATTAAAAATATTTTTGAACCTTTAATATTTATAATATTTAAAGATTAAAGGATAAAAATTATAATATTTTGAAAATTTAATATTTATAATGTTAGTAGTAAAATTATAAAAATTAAAATTAAGTTAAAATTTATTGCTAATTTTTTAAATTATCATACCCTTGTTCAAAATATTTTTAATTTTTATAATTTTATTTTTTAAAATATAAGGACTAATATTTAAGTGGTTAAAACTAGCGGGAATAAATTGTAAAAGAAAAGTTTAGAAATAGAGTTTAAAACTAAACTAAAACTATAATACTTAAATTACAATGAGTCAAAATTTAAAAATTGAGTTATAACTAAATTAAATTAGAGAAATTAAATGGTTAATTTTTCTTAAATAAATAAGAACTAAGTTTTTATTTGCTGGAAATCAAGTTATTATAAAACACCAGAATTCATCACAACATACACGTTTACATATATAAACAACAATTAGTTATTTCTATTCTAAATTATAGGACACTTTTAAATGAGTTTTTTTATCTCAAAATATAAAACACTTTGACTAGATTAAGGTTTCATTAAATATACTAATTTTATATTATTCTTTCTCTCTCTATAATTAATTTCTATTTCTTCTCTTTTTAATATATTAAATGATGGATATTTTTAAAATTTTATATTTTTATTTTAGAAAGATAAAGTTATTAAGTGTATTCAATAATAAAATTTATTGATATGTGAGATTTTGTTTAAAATTATTTTATAATTTGAGAGAGAGGAAGTATCATTTATGTAATAGTAATTTGGCTGTATATGAATAAAAGCTAACCTGGGTCGATATCACCAACACGAACCATGTTGACTACTATCATTTTAACAAAAAAAAATATATATATATATATATATTATTACTTGTTATTATTTTTCAAGATATACAGAAGTTATCATTTTACCCCAAATAAAAAAAAAAAAAGATAGAAGTTATCGATTTCAAAAGATCACTTGCTAATGAGTTCAATCCCATGATCGAGGCTAGCATATGCAATTTTTTGCAATTTTTTATATATACACCTTAAACAATCAATATATGTAAACAATTGTTCACTTTTTTTTTCATTTTTTTAAATTCACTAGT